AATCGATTGAATAAAGATTCACACGCGAAACTTGTGCGCGAACTGTCTTGATTCAAATTTTAAATGTAATTCGCGCCCAATTATCCGTGCAGCTCTACCTATTTCATAAATATTTTTAAACTTTTGTACGTACGTTTTACAAGTCAAACGGAACGTAAGAAGAAATCTGACGGTCTGATATTAATGATAAAACTGCAAAAGTTCGTGAATTAATCATCTAAGTTAATTTAATTTTGACAACGAAAATTCAATCGATTTGTGGACACAGAAATGCTAGCGTCGCGTAGCGGTGAAACGATGGAACTAAAATCTATCGGTGTCCTTGTTGCACACTAGCACGTTCCTCGTCTGCGATGATGTTGCCATCTAAGCACCTCTCAGTTTTGGTTGGAACTAAAATAACAAACTGGAAAAATCCTGCAGATGTCACCACCGGTAACATTGCGTGACAAGGGCAAACTCATGTAGTGTGCCGAACAAGGAGAGCATTGGTGTGCGACAAAGACAGCAACAGATTTTAGTTCCATCGTTTCACCGCTACGCGACGCTAGCATTTTAGCGTCCGTGAATCGAGGAAATTTTCATTTGCGAAAGAAATTAATTCAGCGAATTAATTTACAGACTTTTACAATTGCATCTTCTAAGTGAGAGTCTCGGCTTCCCTCCTATACTCGATTTGTCCTGCGAAATGCACGAATAAAGATTTACAAATTTCACTCGATCGACGCCAGCTCTCTCACGCTAGTAACATTTTAATTTCGATAAATTTCATTATTTGTATTAAACTCACATAATTCTGTATCGTAGCAATTTTTTCGTATTTAAATTTTAAAATTTCAATACTTCTTCAAATAATATCAGATCAAGAGATCAAGTAGCAGCATTTTGAGCGTATAATTTGTTCGACGAAGGTAAAAGGAGTTATCTCGAGGATAAATCGTACGATGAAGATGATTTTCCAATTGCGATTAGAAACTTTTATTTGTATAAACGAAGTCGTCCGAGACATTCAAATCGAGTCAGAATATATTCAGAATTTCAACGAAAACATTACACACGCGAATGAGGGGAAAAAGTGTGCCATCCCCTGTTCTCCTAATTCTTTACTAAGAATTTGGAGCTGAAGGACCAAGAATTATTTACTCGAGGCAATCGTATATGTCCTTAAGAGCTCATACAGCATTGAACTCTCAAGAAGGAAGGACATTGCGGAAAGTAACTGGAAAACAAATATCGTAATCGTAATAAAAAGTTTTATTTCACAAGCAGAAGATACTTTCATCGAAATTGGTAAACTACATTCTATTACGAGAAATCATCGCGACTTTTGGTTGATTTTATTATGATTTTATGATTTACCTTATGATTTTATGATTTTTATGATT